TACCACTCAGAAACTCATATACCAAAGCACGGCAAAAAATGTCTTACGTACATGTAGTATTTCCATGACAGAAACAGCCTATTTGACAGTTCAGTCTCAAAACTCTGGTGTATCAATGACTGAAATTCTGCTCTGTTCAATACAACATGCCTTACTTGAAGGTTTAGAAATTCCATAACGTCTTGTAAACGTGAGAAAAGAGCTTCAAGTAGCTCTTTTACGGAGATCTGAGATAGACTTTTCCAGCACCAATAAGTGCTTTGAACTCTGTTGGAGGCTCTCTAATATTTATGGGCGAAGAGATGACCAGAATAATTTTGTCCTTCCTGCTATCAGACTAAGGAATGTCTTCTATCCAGGGCTTACAAGGCTGACAGTAATCTCAGTGCATGGAGTCTGCAAAAAAATATCAGAGAGTGGATTTGTTGATTCAGGTAAAGCTGTGTCACCACCTTTAGCGGGACCTTTGGATATCTTGTTCAGATAAGACACCAGGAAGGCCTGGATCTCCTGCAGTCCTCTGCAGAGAGGATAATAACCAAGACATTGCCCTTAGCTGACAAACGAAAGGGGGAACACCTCTGACAAGTACGGCACTAGACTGAGCTCACTTTGAGGGGCAAGATTCCTTGTTAGTGGAAACACTTTAGTCAAATTTTCAGAACAGTAATGTCATTTCTCATGTCACTATCACAGGCACTAACTGAGGAGAGAACTAGGTGTCTCCTGAGCGCAAGGCCTTCCCCTTCAGCTGCAGATGGTGGAGAGGTGAGCAGACAGCGTGGTCACGCAGCAAGCCGGGAATCACCTCTCTTTCCTTGGGCCAACCTGTGTCACATTCCTCTGTCACATCACCGGTCTGGATATCACGAACACAGAGAAAACATGCTGCAATGAGATATTTCTTCTATATATCCCAGCAAGAAGAGGGAGGAACCCCAGTTCATTCAGCCCATGAACTTGGAGTGGTCGGCTAAGAAAGCCCTGCTGGCTTGCAGGTTTTACTCAGAGGAAAGGAGGTTAAAAAAGGATCTAAAAAATAAGAGCAGGATTCTTGAATGATTCATTAAAAAGCTTGGTAAGCCTTGAAGAGCAGAGGGATAACATGGATGCCAGTACTGAATGCTATCTTGATACCACAAACGCTCCTGCCTGCCACTTTGGCTTCCTCATTGAGATGAAAGGACGACCATCCTCCAGTATTTGGGCTGCTTTTACACAAGTGCCACCTGCAGTCATTCAGTTCAGGTGAGCTACTATTTGATACAGGGACAGGGAAAAGGAAATTCAAGCTCTGTTACTCTAGAGATGAAAAATGTCCAGATAAATGTCCAAAAGTCCAGATTCTGATGTACCAGAACGTTTCTGTGTTCAGGCACATGAGCATCCATAGCCACAGGGGAGTGACTGCACATGGCACAAGCACTGCAAGATAGGCCAGAGGAAATCTCTGAAACGAAGAAGGAAAAGCACTGCTAAATTTGGAGAAAAACTTGCAACAGAATCCACTGTACAAATTCTGTTCAGCATATCCAATCTTTGAATTATTAGTGAAAGAAGAAGGAGAGAAACAGAGTAAGAGTGAGTAGCACAATAATAGAGTGAGGTTTCCATTGGTCTGTCTTTTATCTAAGGAGGTCAGTGACCATCTAAGAGAAAATCCCAAAATTTCAATTTACAGTGACTTGTCCAGCAGGCAAATCAAAGGCAGGTGCTGGATATAATAAACAATGCTGGTCAAACTGTTTCTTTCTGCACAGCACTTGGTAAACAGAGTAGCCGCTATTGAGTCCTAACCTCTTGTCATGCAGTAACATTGAGTCAACAATCCGCTCTCATGGCTTAATGCTTTTGATGTTTACTTTGTTCTTTCTATAGTTCAAAAGAAAGCACTAATGCACCAGTCCTCTTACCAAATACAATCTTAATCCCAGAATCCCGAGCCTTTTGCTGTTGGCCAGTTAAGTCTGTTAAGACGAAAGGATTTGATCAAGCTTTACATAACAACACAGAAGTTAAATCCAGCAAAGAGAGTTCTTTTTATCTGTACTGCTCAGACGGCTAAGAGGGGGAAAAAAAGAGAGAAAAAAGAAGGTAATGAACTTGGCTATGTAAAACAAAATCAGGAATTCAATTTTTTCTCTTATTGCCACTTTGTCTTTTCAGTGAGAGTCTTCTAAAGAACTCAGATTTATTCTGCAATCAAGGCTCTGGGTGTGAATGCTGTAATTCTCCTCTAACCCAGAAGAACTGTGGCACCTGCTGTGCTTTTCTGAAAATCTGAGAAATGTTTCTTTTTCATCAGGCATTTTCCTGATTAAATAAAAAAGAAAAAGCCCAAAGACAAAAAAACTCAAAGACTAAACTAAACTAACCATTGTAGCTTAAAAGACCATGAGGGGAGAGAAGAACAAATGTGCACTTTGGAAACAGATGGGCAGTTAAGAGGAAAGGTAAGAGAAAAAACAACTTCAAATAATTAATACTGCACAGCACTTAATTCAAGACCTTTCTGCCCTTCTTTTGCTCACTTTTTTCCCATCCTTACTTCAAATTTCTAAAGACAGAAAATACTCCAATGACTATAATGTTTCTTGTTACTTGGTAGTTCTGGGTTCAAGTCTTTGCTTTGCCACTGATGTCCTTTATAGGCTTACTCCAATCAACCACACTTCAGGGTATCACTACTCTCCACTTGTAAACTTATCACACCTTCTAGATGACATATGTCTGTAGACTCTATGAGCGTATATGTTACGCATGGACATACAGAAAGGCTGTGGGTTAGCATAATAAAGGTAGTAAAATTATTTTAGAGGGAAAGTTTGATATACTTTCTACATTACCAATTATATTTACATACAGAAGAGCTATGACGCGGTCATCCTGTACCTAAGCCACAAAGGATTCAAGCTGTGCCTCACTGCAGGTCTCCAGACATGTTTCAGCTTTGCTGGGATGGCACCTTTCATGCCAATACTCCTGCAAGCACAAACTCAATCATCTAACAATATTAAAGGTTTTACACATCAACTTTGACAGTATTAGAGTATATTCTTTGTAAACTAAACACACCACTGAAACATGCAGTGTATTAACACAAGTCACAGGAGAGGAACTGGAATGTCAAGATTATTCTAGCACCTTGACTACAAAAACCTCTGGTTTCCTTATTTCCCTGAACTTTAAGCTCACATTCGTGTTTCATCTGGTATGAGCAATAAGTTACAAATACATACAAGCACTAAGCAATGCTAAGCACTGTAGCAGCCATGTTATTGATGCAGCCACAATTCACTGAAACACACTTTTCAATTCAATTTCAATTCAAAAGTCATTTGTACAGAGGCTGATGCTTAAAATCAAATTTCTTCCCAGTAGTTCTTTGGCCTTGCTTAGCTCAGTCTTGGCAGCTCCCAGAGCTGCAGCAATTTTGATTCAACAGTGTGCATTTTTGCAGTCTCTTTAAAGTCCTGATAACAGATCCACATACGCAGAGCAATTGCTTGACTTCTGTGCTACAAATCAATGACCAGTCCCTGACTGGAATTTGATAATAGCATTCATTCTAACACGAGTAAAGATGCCAAGAAAGGTGTATTTTCAGTTTCTAGAAGAGAATAACAGAAGCTAATCACACAGCCTAACCACTGGGGCGGGGGGGAAGGAAGAAATTAGTAACTTAGGCAGTATATTAAGTTAGAAAAAAAAGTAGTAACAGTAATAAAAATAAGGTCAGAATACTACATTTAAGCATGAGAAGAGTATTTTTGCTTCCACACTTCACCAACACACACAATTCCCTTAATGTGCAAGCAGGCAATGAGTCATTGAGAAGGTCATTAATGCAAAAAGCTGCATCCTTGCCTACACTTTGAGCTTAAATTCACAATTTGATTCTGGCAATTGGATTTTGCCAATATGCAAAAGGGAGATAACCCTACCTAATATTTATACTCTGCAAATATATTCAGTTCAGCAAAATATAACAGCAAATAGGCATTGAACAATATCTCATGATGCTGCTAAAGGATGTGCAGCTTGTAATTCCATGTTAAATCCACATAACCTCTGTAAGCACTGCTTCTGTCCCTCCCTTTGCAGGACAAGAGACTTTTTTAATGGGTTAAATTATTTAAAATGAAAAGCAGAAAAAGTTTTGAAGTCTGCTAGAATCCTCATCATCTAGACAGCAGTCTCCATCCCAGAACCGAGTGAAATACAACAGGGCAGCACTTTCTAAGCAAAACTTGACATGGTTCTTTGCTCTAAATCGATTCGGCAAATTGCTTCCATTCCCCTCTAATATAAACCTAGCACACAGTCCACACAACCACTCGCTCAGACTGAGAAATTTTCAAAGACTTTCTGAAGCCTCATTTCCTTGTTTGTTGACAAGCAGGATGGACAACATCCTCAGTTCAATATCTTTTGAGCATCAACCCTACATGCCCCACTCCAGTTCAACGTGCCTCAGGCAGTGCCCACGCTTGAGGTCCCAAAATCCTGTTCCCACCACAACAGTGATTCCGCTTCCATTGCGATGCAAGCCCTGACCACAGAGGAAGAGACAAGCTTAGCCTCAGGAAGAAGAAATTATCCGAGGCAATAAGGATTCCTGCCACGTTCAAGAGAAATGAACTGAGTCAGACTCTCTGATCTTTTTAAGAAATAAATGGCACATGAGCCACAGAAGGGCCGAGCACAAATTTTGGTGCTACCATCTCCAGCAACCACCACTGCTGGTGACAGCGAGGTTCCACTGCTAGCATTGCTGATGGAAGCAGCCGGAAAAAAATAACTGCGAGCCCCTGAATTACTACACTTGGTCTCTATGATACAACTGAGCAACTCTCAAGAGTGGTGAGAGAGGCCAAAATACCCCACTCCTGCCCCTTTCCTGGCACCCAACAAAACCACAGACAAGAGCCAGGCTGCTCAGGGCAGCCGATTTGTCCGACATCCCTTAACATTAACCAGGAAGTTTTATCTTTAAATACCTTCCAAATGAAAGTGTTCATCTCCAATTGTGTCTCGGTAGCCTTCCCCAGAGAGATCCTGTAGAAATAGAAAAAGAAAAAAAAATGAAGGAAGAAAGAAAAAATAATGTAAATTTACTATATGCAAAATGTTGAGACATTAAGCCACACATTATCAGAATTAATTGTAAACATTATTTTTTTTCCAGGGAAGATGTCAATCACTTTATTAGAGGTAGTCAATGGATACTATTTTAGAATGCATTGGACATACTTTAGTACAAAATTTAAGGGAGATTAACAGATTAGACTAGGGGAAAGAAAAAAAAAGTGGTGATATTCAGATCCTTTTATGAGGTAGATTAGTATTTAGCATTTCAATGTTCTGTCAATCAAGCAAGATAAAAAAAACTCCAAATGGAAACGATAAAGGAGAAATAAGCCCTTCCTACCCATAGAGGAATGTTATCACTTGGTTCCACCAACAAACAGAAAACTTTCATATGCCAGAGGTCACCCAAGAAAAGCAGATACCAGACTCTGAAGAGCTGCCTGATCCTTCAGTCCCAAAATTAATGAAATTTTGTCAGCCCCAGCATGTCTAGCGCAATGTAGGCACAGAGGCCATACGTCTGCACGTGATCTTATCTCAGGCCCGAAAAACGTTTCTCTAATGGTGCTGAAGAAGCAGTAAAGGGCAGCAGGGGGATTTGCAGCTAATCCTGCTTATGAAGAGCCTGAAGAGCGTTCTCGCCATCACGAGCAGGTCCTCCCTGCCGCCGCGGCCAAGCCGGACACAGACGAACCCCACTGCGCGCCGGCCCGGCGCCCAGCCCCGCGCGGAGCCGCTGCCCTCCCCAGCCTCCCCACAGGTACTCCCTGCACCCATAACTATCTGTGACACTGTGAAAGAGCAGGGGGGCCTGGCAGGCTCCAGCGCAACGTCTGGGGCCATTTTAGCTTCCCCGCAGAGGCAGGGCAGGAATCCAGAGCCAGGATCCACAGCATCAACCTGGGAAGGGGCCATAGCCAGGAGGGAGCTTTGGGCGCCAAGTAGGAAGGAAAGACTAGCCCACGAAAAGGAATGGCTGGTTGTATTCATCAGCTTGACTTTTAAGCAATTTAATCATGATAAATGCACTCCATCTCTTGAAGCGGCTGACAGATGCTCTTTTCCAGTTTCCACGACCCTACATGTTACTCTTTGAGATTAGTTAGCAGAAAGCAACTAAACCGCAAAAGCAAATCCAAGGAATGCATCACTGTCAGCTTCTGCTACGGCCTTTTCAAAAGTAGGTTGCACAAACTCTACTGGTTAACTGTCAAGGACAGTTAGAGCTCGGTATTCTCATGGTTCCCAAGGTGGGACCATAGACCCTGAAAATACCAGAGCAGACACACTGAAATAAAGTTAGTCCTTGCAGTTGACTGTCACTGAGCACTGCTGTCACCCATTTTACACAGCACAATATTGCAGTTAGAGCTGTTAATGGACTCTTTCTGCTAAAATAAAAACTCAAGAGACCATTTTTGAACATCTGCTGATTAATATCAACCATTATCTCAAAAATTATGGAGGAAAGGGCCATAGTAAAAGAAAAGAAGCTATTAAATCCTCACATAAGTTACCACACTTCTACAAGAAGATGGTGTTTCCAGAAGACTATAAAGTTTAGTCTATTTTTGTTTCATCAAAGTCCTCATGCCATCATTTTGTGTGAAGCTCTGAGAAATTACCTCCGACCACGCTCCAAAGATCATGAAATGCTTGAAGTGGCTGCACAGGCACATTCGGCACCTCTGTTCTCTCCCACAATGTTAGGTACTAAACAAATGCCTTTTACTAAACTCCATGTCCCTGCTCCTTCCTGCTCTTTCAGAAAAAGGCCATAAATACCTACTCTTAACTTAATCAGCAGCTACACAATGAGTTAGTAGGCTTTACTTGGGCTGTTCTGATGAGGTTACTATCTAGCTGTTAGGCTTCATCTCTTGAAACTTCAGCCTGAGAAGCTGTGCACCCACATATCAAATTTTGCCCATTAAACTGTTGCTACTAATCTCATCTCCTGTGAAATCCACGAGTCATTAATTTTTATGATTTCCAAAAAATGTCACTTAAAAATGAGAAGACATTGTTAATGTAAAATACACCATCAAATAGCTCAGTGAAAAGGAGTCGAGCAAAAAACTATAAAACAGCAGGCATTAATCTTCTATAAGTAAAGTCTCTTATTTTCTCACTTATAATCATTACATGGGTCTGTAAATAATATTTTATATTCTACTCTAGTTTTGGGCCTTCCCTAGCAAAATTATACATTTAAGTTTAAGTAGTAACTTAATACCAGAAAATTGCCAGTAAGTATTTTTGCCCTTAAACCAAATGATTATAAATTACCAAATTCTAGAAACTGCTTTTGTGATGTTGACCTGCAATACCTCTGACCTGACACTTCAGCCAGCCACTGGTGAATTACCCGTGTGGACGTCTTAGTGACCCGCTTAGATAGTTAGAATTAATCAACTTCCATTTAAACGTGTCCTTTTGTGTCAGCAAGATTATGACTTGGATTCTTTTTGATAGCCGGATGCCGGCCCCGCTGTCGAGGTCCTGAGCGTGCAGCAAGGGTAGCAGTGCAGGAAACCACTTTGCAGCTGAAGAAACCTGGCGAGCAGAGCTGTGGCCGTGGGCAGGCGGGAGGCTCAGTGTCCACGCGGGAACGGGCCGACGGCAAAGCCAGCCGTCCATCACCCGCCCGACGCGACACCTTGAATCACAACCCTGCAACCCGGAGCACTGAGTCCCCGAGCAACCAAAACCAGATGGACCCACGAAACACTGCACAAATGAGGTCAGCGCGCGTCTCGAAGCCTCGAGGAAAGGCTCGTTTCCGTAGCGGGGCTGTTCCAGCACGCTGCTTCTGTAAGCTGCCAAACACGATGCCAGCGCCGCGCACGTCTGCACCTCACCCGGACAGATAAGGGGGCCTCTGTTAACTACAAATCACACAAAACGACTAATATTCAGGTTCAGACATCTGCTGCGCACCGGGAACAGCCGGCTGGCTGCAGGAGGAAAGGCGCTCGGCCCCGCACGTCGGTGCTGACAGGTGCCCCAGCCATGACGCGCGTCCAGGCACGGGGCGGAGAGCAGAGGCAGTCAGCCCTGCTCCTCCGAACGCTGCCAGCACATACGTACAGTGTAAACACACAGCGTATACATGGAGGAAACCCAGCTCCCGTGTGCCAGGGCTTCCTCTCGGCTGCTCGCAAGTCAGGCAAACAGATGCGCACCGAGTTGAACACAATTTTGCTTTTAGTAGAAGCGTAGTCCACAGACAGGTTAAGTGTATCAAAGGATAACCTTTGATGTAGGGCAGGCTATCGTGCTAACAAGCACATTTTTAAAACATAGTTTGGATCCACCCACTCCCAGTGTTACATCACAGTCAATACTGTGTTAATTACATTTTTGTAAAAGGTGTTGCTTTTCTCAAGTAGAAACAAGTCACTTTATCTTTCCTTCTTCAAACATCTCATTAAAAACCTTTGATTTAGCTTTGCGATATTCAAATTTCCATGTTTTTGGCATGAAATATGCTCACATTTTCTTTTTAGTGAAGTCCTCAGTGTGTCCTATCCACCACTTTCCCAGGTAAAACACATGTAAAATGATGAAGTGGCACCAGGGCAAGCTTTGCCTTCTGGTTCTGCCCTTCCGTAGGGAACATGTTATGTATTTTATCTCTCTCTATTCTCACAGTGACGCAATTAAGGCTCCAGCACTTTTTGAGACAGCAAAGTTGAAGACACATATTTCATAACAGGACTGCAAGGGATGAGGGAAATGTGGTAACTCTAGTGTCTTCCTGGAGTACATTTTACAGGGGCTTTAAAGTGGCTGCCAACAAGAATGCTGTGTCCCTTAGACACTAACTACCACTTTTGGTGTAAACAAAACACGACCCCAAGACACAGAGTTGTGGGAAGCTGAGTGGTCCCTTTGGTCCAACTCAAACAACGGAGGGCTCTGCCAATGCTTCACTTCGACTTTAGGGAAACGGAGTTACCCGAAGTCTGATTTTCATACAGCAAGTCCTTTGCCTATTTTGAAAACCAAGTCTCCTGAAGATGTTTCAGGAAACCCATCCGAGCCCCAGAAGCACTTTTTTTTTTCCCCCTCCTTATTCTTCTTTTTAATCCTGTCCAAACTTGAAGAGAAAAAGGTGTAAGACATTTCAGAAGACCAGCTAATGGGAGGTGCCTAGCTCCCCTTTGGGTATTTGAAGTTTCCCATGGTTCAGAAACATAACCATGTGTGAGTGTGGACAACTCAAGCTTAGTCTTCACTACTAGAAAGCCCAAACACACCCCACAAATAGTAACATTTATTTTAGAAAAAGGAAGGTAAAAAATCAGATGTTCAGGTATCCAAGACGATGATCATTCCTTACCAATACAGCTTTATAGTCAAGCTTAAAGCTCTTAATATTGCTTGTAGTCAAGTATACTTGGAGATGATTTTTCTGCTAGGTTAGCAGCTTCTGTGTGTGGAAATCCATGCAGTCAAATACACATAATAAACAGAACATTGTGCACATCAATTCTGTGCAATTGCTGTAGCTACACACAGGAGTCAAGAATGTTTTGGGGCATGCGTTTGACTATCTCCATAATCAGAAGTGCAGCCTTTGAATTAATATCTTTTTTCAAGCATGTTTGAGGATCCCCCTTACAAGTCTTTTGGAATATATGATATACTTCTGCATTACAGTTATGAGCTACTTAGGACAATTCTTTCCTTCCCATACTTACCATAAAGTAATGTATGGCCTTACACAGATACAACATATTTCAAGCCTCACTATAAAGAAAACTGAAACAAGGTAAATAAAATGAACAGTTAAAGCATACACCATATCAAAAAAAAAGAGAGAGTTGAGAAGGCATAACTACATAGCAACACATATTTATGCCTTGGTATAAACAAATCTTACTTTCTGCCAGCAAAAAAAAAAAAGAAAAAATTGGAAGTTTGCCATTCTAGATAACTTGATAAAAATACAATTCACTACG